GGGAAAGCGGCTTGCAGCCCGGAAAGACCCGTCGCGGGGATCTCTACGGTCTTCCTACACAGCGGACAGGCAAGGTCGTCTCCAGGCCTAAGTCTATTAGCTGCAGACTGGAGGCATTGGAGGCAGTATACGTGGAAGCAGGGGAGGGCCCTCGGCTCGCGGTAGATCTCGAAGCAGACAGGGCACCTGATCTGGTCCTCGATCTTCTGCTGGACAGAGGCTGGCGGTGGCCATGCGTCAGGCTCATCATTAGAAGTTGTCCGTGGCCGAGTTGGAGTCGTTGCTGGGGTTGCCGTCTGCAGCTCTGATGTCCCGTCCATTCTTTTCTAACATTGGGGGTGTTTTTTCGCTTTTAACGCTTGCGCATAAAGCAACGTTGGCTACAGTTGGTGCGCGCGCCGAAACAATGGGCTTGGTGAGGAAGCTGATTACTGCATTTTTGGGCCATATTGAACGCAGTTGTTTCAAGAAACTATGTCCCGGTAATCGCTTAGGCCGCCCTAAGTAGCCTGTATGCTAGAATCGCCATTGACACACACATAATTATGGACTCACACACAAACAAGGTATTATACCGTAACCTTTGTTGTGCATACACATGGATAGTTGATTATGCTGACATGATGAAACAATGATGTGAAGTGACTAAAAATTCATCTGGTCCACCAGTAAGTACCCCTAATCAACAGGAGTCCAGCCTGTGCAGCCAACACAGATGAAAGACCATAGACATAGCTCCCGGCCAGGGGGAGGGTGGACAGCTCAACTGCAAATGTAGAGACTGTTGTGAGACACCCACAGAACCCAGCAGTGGCTCCGTAGAGCAGTCCCTTCACCTCAAGACCCGTCTGCTCCTCGTGGTGATGGTCCAGAACGTACGCTGTCGCCAGGACCCAAGTCCCGAGGACATTTACAAGGAACGTGCCCAGTCGGAAATAGTTGAAGGCCGAATTGAGTGGGGAGAGGTGCCAACGGATGTAGGCCCCCAGTGAGGCCAGGACAAAACTGAACATGAAGTCGTGTCTGTTGAACAGAACAAGAGGGACGATGACCACAACCGAGGTGGTTATAACCCAGGCAACAATGTAGATGATCATCTCGAGCACTCTCACTGCCTTATGTGAAACTTTGTACTCCCTCACCCCCTTTCTCTGATCGGCCCAAGGAGAGAGGTAGCCGAGATGTTCCCCAAACTTGAGTGCTGCAATGGGCATCCCGAACCCGACAACAAGAATAGTTGCCCAGCCGATGACTCTGGTGACATTGTTGGGGTCTTCTTCACCGTACTGGATGAGGACTGTTGCAGCATCATTGTTCCAGGAGGAGAAGGTTGTCAGAGAGCCACAGAAACCCGTAGCGAGAGCTTGATATGTCAGCTTGTGCTTCTTCTCGAGGAAGAGTTGCTTGTGTGCGAGAACAAAACCCATCACTGCTGTTCCGACCACTTCAGCGTAGAATGCAGGAAAGAGGGGCAGACCATTCCAAACAGCAAGTTCGGTGAGGTATATCCTAGCCAGGATGCCAAGGTATGCTAGCACGCTGAGAGCACAGAAGTAACCGACGTGCTCTGCGCATGTTGCCTTCTGGAAGTAGCGAAACTTGCAGAGGTTCGCTGCTAATCGCTTGCGTCCACGCAACGAACGCGAATCGACCTGTACGTCACCAGCAGCTCCGAACGAGGTCACGCTCGATAGAGCGGTAGTCTCTAGGCGGGGGCTCAGCTGCAGTAATGGACGCGCTCTGTCGTTGCTGAAGTTCTCCGGACGAGAAGCTGCTATCCTGTACGGAAATGTCCATCGCGGGCGGCGAAGGAGGCTGCATCACGGCTCGACTCAGATAGGCCGGCTTCGGCGGGGGAACGGGAGGCGTGCGTTCCCGCGACGGGGGCGACGAGCTCAGACCCGGCAGTTCCGCTCCTGAGTCTGCCATATCTCTCAAGCGCACTCCTTCAACCGCAGTATCCGTGACAACAGCCTTTATAGATTCCTTCCTGTCGATGGCTCGTAATGCACACGTGTCACAGCCCCAGACAATACACTATACACCGCCCCCGGTAGTAAGATCACTACAGAATTTTAAAAATAGACAATCTACTTTTGGTATCTCGAATGAAGTGTTGTGCAACAAGGTTGAGAGAGTCTGATAGTGTCTGTGTCGATAGCGTTTGTGATCTGCAAACACTAATTGGTTGTCTCGATGGATGATGATGATGCATGGAAGACCAACGGTGCATGCAGGACATCGAGGGAGCCACGCTGGCATCTGGAACATTATCCATTGCACCACTTAGAGCACGATGCAGGTTTGTGCTGCACACACATGTACGCATACATAGCCACCAAACAGCACAGCATGCCGAACAAGCACAGTTTTATTATGCTCACTCCGTGCGCATGTGTTGCAGCAAGAGATCACATGTTGCCTTTCGTCTCCCATGGTTGCTTGGGCTCAAACCTGCAGAGAGTGACAACAACACACACTGTAGGTGACAACAGCTATGGTGATCCATTATCCCAATTATCGCTTCTCTGCTTTCTTCTGTGCTTGCTTCCTGGACTGATTATCGATTCTTGCTGTACGAACGAAAAGCTAACTACCAGAAGCAAGATCAGATAAGCAGACGGAAAAGCAAAAAGCGCAGTGAGAAAGAAGAGAAAGACTGAGAGAATAGCTGGAGTGAACTGCATCGGGCCACCATACATATATACACAGCATGCATTTTATATGCTCAATCTGTGATACGTTCCGACAAGGACGGCCATGATAGTACCTCCAATCCAGCTTAGGTGGTTTTCGCCTCCTCTTTCTTTCATCATCAATCTGTATATACACATTCGATACAGACTTGTCGAAAAAGCTCATATAGTAAGTCACCTTTTTTCTTTTGATATAATCTCTGCACTCAAAAGCAGTTGCCACTTTACTGGAGAACTGTATGTTAAAGTCAAAGGGCAGTATATACATCAATGTACACGTACAATACCGGCATATACCTCTCTTTGTGCTATCTTTTCACTCATCTCCACTGCCTCCTCAAATTCACCCCGCTCGATGCATTCACCCATTTCTTCCTCAAGATGACTCTGTCAACGGTTGAGTCGTTAACCAACTACACAAACCAGATCATCCATCACACACTGCACCTTCTGAGCATACTTTCCAGGGTCCACCCCTTTCAATTGAGGGTTGGGCTCCATGAAGCTCCTGACTTCGTGCCACTCTGCTTCAGCCTTCTCTTTCTTAACCTGCCCCTCTCCCTCCCCCTCCCTCTCACTTTCCTCCCTTTCTCTCTCCCTCCACCTTTGCTTCTTCCGTCCCACCCGAGGTAGGCTCACACCGTCTTCCCTGAGAATATCTCTATCTTCCTCACTCAGCTTCTTACTTACTACAACAGAGAAGCAGTTTGAGTATGCATGCGATCAACATAGTATATTGTTCGTGTGCAGAGAGTGTACCGTTTCTGAGGGTCTTGTTACGTGTTGCTTCAATTCTCCTTGCAGCACCAGTTGACAGCTCTTTTTCTCTCCTTGTTCTCAGCTCACAGAATTTCTGTTTTGCAAATTTTACGACGAAGCTAGTTAGTTTACTGGCTCAGTTTGGCAACAAGTGCATAGGGTAGGTCACAACTAAACCTAGCAGTTGATGCGTGTGCACATCTTGATCTCATACACTACAGTAGCGGTACACACTGAGTTGACACGTGCTGCTACAGAATCAGACCACTGGTGAAACAAGGTGTGTTACAAAGGACAAATCGCTCCAGACGCATCAGCGGATCGAGCTGCTGTAGCTATATAAGAGTGTGTGTCTCACGTGATCTACCTGCCACTGATGCTCATGGACGTGACGCGGCTTTTCCGGCTGCTCTTCGACCTTCTTCTCATTGGTTACAGTTTGTGAGGTCCAGTCGACAAACCTTGGAGGTGGAACTGCACTGTACATCTCTAGCTCTAGCTCCTTTTCGCGGCAACCTCAAAGCCACGCCCCCCGCACGCCGCCGGTACGCGGTGGCGTGTTGCGCGTGCGCACGAAAAGCAAGCGTGCCTTTTGCTCATGCGCACAAAAACGAAGGACACACGCCGCCACGACACCCACAGGACCTGGGGAAAGATGCAGAACGAGAGTGGAGAGGTGGTAGACACGTACATACCAAGAAAGTGCTCGGCAAGTGGGCGGATCGTCGGCGCCAAGGACCACGCCAGCGTCCAGATAGCCATCGCTGAGGTGGACGAAAAGACGGGGCGAATGAACGGCAACCTGAAACACCTTGTCGTCTCAGGGTTCATTCGAGGGATGGGAGAGAGCGACGGCTGTCTCAATAGACTGTGCTCCGAGTCAGGAATACTAGCTACCGTCGCGGACCAACAATGAGACTGTATTGTGACTCTTGCTATGGTGCTCTATCATCGAGATTTATACTGACGTAGTACTGTATACTGTGGTACTGTATACTGTGGTGCTGTATGGTAGGTCGTTGCGCAAGATGGAGGGGCACTGCGTCAAGAGGTTTGCTTTACCTCACACACACACACGTGACAATAAACAAGGAAATAAAGATGACTCTAAAATGATGGTGAAGATTTCAAGCTATAATAGCATGTAGTGTCCGCGAGGGTTGTTTCTTTGAAGCGACAGAGTTCTTTCTCCACGCCTGCCACACCGTCGTTAGGACTATCACCCCCACCACGAGAGAGAGAAGAGAGCACCAGATGGGGTGCAGCTGCCAGTAGAGGAGATGAACCTGCCAGAGAGGGAAATGACAATAACAGAGAGCCAGGACTTTAGGGTATATAATTATAATAGACGGAAGCTAAATTGAGGAAATTAACCAGTGCAGAGGATTGAGTAGGAGCAAGATAACCTAGTCGTCCAAATTGGTCAATTTTTCTTGTACACACGACAGTACATCATCTAACTGCATGTGTGTTCTGATGGTAGTGTATAGCGTGAAGACAAAACACTGCAGGTACAGTTCTAAACAGGCGCTCCTGCTCGCCCCCAAAATTCCCTGCATTTGCCTACTAATATATAGTATGTACCTGTGCAAGTATTCTGAGGTGGTCTTGGTGGAGACTGGGGAGATGGAGGGCAAGAGAAGAGAAACTGTCCAAGTCACACTTGGCCAGGAGCTCCAGACTTGGGCTGGAGGCAGTCAGGGACACATCGTGACAATCTGGAGAGGGAACACCATTGATTAGCGCCACTTGAATGATCACAAATCAAACTTGAAGACAGTGGCATATATAGCCACAATGAAGGTGGTTTAGGGCACACTGGAGTGGTGTGTGTGTGTGTGTGTGAGTGCAAACCTTTCTGCCAGACTGCAGTGTGAAGAGAGAAGAGTGTAGAGTTTGAGCTGGAGGCCAGGTGACCAGCGATGGGGTAGGAGAGGAGAGAGAGGAGGGAGGACTAGGAAAAACAGGGGGGAGGGGAAGAGACAAACAAGACCCAAGTGAAATATATATACCTCTGCATACGTAAAGCTGAAAGGGTCCACTTTCTCTATTGTCTCACTACCACTCTAAACCTCACATCAACAATATACCTTGTCGCTGTATTCTGCCATGGCCATGTCCACTTTCCCTCCAATAACTGGCTGGACCAGCTCCGATATCACTTGCTGCATGGGAACTCTATCGTCACCATACACCTGCATAACGGAGTACACACACACACACACACTCAGAGTTTTTTCCTTAAAAAGATTGGAACTCTTCCAAATAGGTTGTCACAACGTTGATACTAAAGTCTCGCTTCCTCCTTCTGGTATACAGCATTTTCATTTTCCAAACCTAGTACATAGGCAAGGGGTATACGCACGTTTTTTTGTAAAAAGACACAGGGTATATAGGTTGCCTACCCTCCGAAAACAATCACTTGCGATCCCTTGACAATTACGTGCCCTACTTCACCCCTCTTGATAAACATACACTTACCATCGTCCGCAACATTGTACAAGACACATAATATTCACTTTGCAGAGTTCAGACTCACTAGTATCTGACTGAAGTGGGCTTTGTTGAAGGCCTGGCTGAGAGTGTGCATGGGCAGCGGCTGTGGAGACACCAGCTCCACGTGGCTCCCCTTCTCCCTCAGTGGCTTCACCGCCTCCTCCACCTTCTTCCCCGGTCGGGCCACCACTATGAACTCTGTCTCCAGGTGAGCTGGAAACATCAAAGCGATACACACAAGTGATACAACAATGCCTTCTACCACAGTTGGCATGCAAGTGCAAGAAGGGACCCATCTTATTTTCCCTTATGTTATTTTGTGCTTTTTTGTTGTTATGTTGTTACGCGTGGGTTACTTGGTGCATTGGCGCTGCTCTTACCAGCGAGAATAGGGAGGCTGGCCTGCAGCACGAGGCGGGAGAGATTGGTCTCCGATGTAGCGGCGGTTGTGGGCAGAATGACAACAGAGAGCTTATGGCCGGTGTGCGGGAGGTTCGGGATCAACATAGACGGCGGCGGTCGGAGACACACGACCAGAAACACCACGAAACCGACGAAACTCTGCAGCACGACAGGTGCGCTTTCATTAGAGAAACGTGTGCATCAACGATTCTACTCACCAGAGCGGCAATACCCAGGCGGACTTTGGCACACGAAAGCAGAACGTGTCTCAGAGACATACCGTGTGGGGTAGTCGACGCTCCCTCAAGCTGTCCAACGTCCAGGTAGAGCTCATCAGCATCGAAAAGAGAGACGCGTTGTTAAGTTGTCACGAGGTCTGCCCCGCCCCATAAAACGCGCGCACGTGCTCGGCAAGCTGGCGCGGAAGAAAAGGGGGCGTAGCTAGCTGGAGAGCAAAAACAAGAGAGACACAGTAAGCAGAGCACTAAAGTAAGTCGATCTAACACTTATTGATGTTATGTGTTCCTAGAGCTGCTGGTCTGAAGGCCAGTGTGTCGTGTATAGGATTACCGTGGGCCCCGGCATGCCAGGCGTAATTTGGTATGGATCGTTGCTCAGGGAATGCTGCTGGCCGTGCCAATTTCTGACCGACGGTAGTCCTTATTGCATCAAGCCATCTAAGGGCAACGAGTTAGCAGTTCTTATCCAGGGGAATGCCTACAGTCGCACTGTATACGAGTTGGATCCCGTGCAGTGTAGGAGGGTCGCAGTGCCGTGGTTTCGTTCTGCTGCATGCACGCAACCGTGTTGTTCGATAGCTACGCATCGTCAGTTCTGAGCTAGCTATATAGCCAAGCCAACCAACAACGCAGCACGTACAGCAAATTCTACAAAAAAATGTTTCACAGGCTCGGCAAACGCAAGATGTCGACCGAGGAGTCGGGCTCCGCCCGTGAGCGGGAGCTACGGCTAACCGTGGCTCAGCTCCGCCAGCAACTGGAGGAGGAGAAACGCGCCAGGAAGAGAGACCACAGTGACAAGGTGAGCGACCGTGGGAAACTTAGTAGCAGATGAAGACCTAATTAGCGAGTTACCAACTCGTGAAAACCATCAGCAATGATTTTCTTCGTCTGCAGGTGCGGGATCTGAAAGCTGCAAGAGAGAGAGAACAGGAGGCGGCCAAGGAGACCATCGAGGAGCTGAAGATGAAGCAACAGAGAGAAAAGGCCCAGGAAATGACTGTATGTCTCTGAGAGTTCTGTAACTATACATTTAGCGTGCAACTATAGCTACCTGCATGCAAGACTGCTAGTGCATGCAAAACTACTCTCGAGTATAACTGAACTCAAAAGTGACTGTTGTTGTTGACATAGGTTCTACAGGAGAGGATGACTAGGGACTTCAAGGCTCAGGTGAAGGAGATTCAGCGAAAGAACGAGGAAGAGAAACACGGGCTGCAAAAAGAGCTGGAGAAAGAGAGACGAAACTTCAAGGAGCAACGAAAGGCCATTGAAAAGGAGGTGAGAGAACGTTTTTCCCCCAGCTGATAATATAGCTAGTATCTGTTTAGTTGTGGAATGATTTGTTATCCCTTTCTTTCTCACCCACCTCCCCTTAGATCCAGAGGCAAATGCGGCAGGCTCAAGAGGCTGAGCAGAAGAAGGTGGCACAGGAGATGTTTGCCATGTCGAATAACGTGAGCGACATGGAAGTGAAACTGCGGGACACTCAGGACGCTGACCGCACGAAGGATGAGGTGATCCGGGAGATGAAGGCCGAACACCGGGCAGAGTTGGAAAGCCTCAGTCACTCTTCGAGGCTCAGCAACAGACAACAGGTGTGAAAACTGGAGCTTTACATGTAAGAGGAGTCGGTGTCAATTTGCTTTTTTAATTGTACTGACAGACGACCTGCATACCTGATAGTTCAGTATGGAGCTCGTGTTGTATGTGTGCATGGTTACCTGCATGTAGGGTGAACTGTAGGAGTGAGCTCCTCGTGTTCAGCTATGTAACCAAGCTCTCTTTAACGTATTAAAACCTATGAACAGCGTTGTGTATAGTAAATGTGTTGACACTCACTGCGACACAAAAGGCAAGCTATCAGTTCCACCGATTGATCCATAAACATTCCTCTTCTCATTTAGAGCCTTAACTTAGCCCAGAACTGCATTTTTCTCCATTGACTCTGTGTGTACACAGTACAGTGGGTCCGTGCCATGTGTAACGAGATTGTCTGCCCACATTACTTGTCAGTCAGGTCCAGTATAAGGCAACCGGTAGCCACTCAGCTGCAGAGTCAGTTGGATCAGTTGGCACCTCGACTCACTCATCTACCCCTGCACTTACCCCCACTTCTCCTTAACAGTGGACACACTTAGCTTGGCTCAGTCCAACATTAGCTGCAGAATCCCCGCCCACACTTACAGCCCAAACTGACAAACACAGCAAGGCTTCTCCATAGTTCATAAGAAGGGACGTGGTATGTGTACAAACACATCATTCACCTACAACAACACATCATATGTGTTGTTGTGGGTGAATGCTGGCAACACTCTGAGTCACTGACTGAGATTACAGACTGAGATCACAGCAAAAGGCAGCAGAGTTCTTGTATGGTCACACTGCAGCATTAATTGAGTCAAAAGGGTCTATAGTCCACATAGCCCTTTAGTTCACACAAGGTCCTTCTCTGTAAACCACTTAGGTCTTGGAAAAAGTGTTCTCCTTCCTCTATCATGGTTCAGATGCCTTTGGTAGATCCAATAATGTTTTACTTCGAGCATATACAACTTTACTCGGAGACGTCAGAAATTAAACTAGGTTGGCTCACTCCCTTGCCAAACAACACATAACGATATAGATGTGATGATGTTATCATTTATCCCCTGTCTCTCTGTCTCTGTGGTGGTCAGTTGGAAGAACTGTCGGCAAGTCAGAGAGAACGGAAGGAAAAGGACAGGGAGATTTCCGCTCACATGGAGAGGATTCGCAGACTTGAGGCAGACAATGACAAACTACGAGATGAGGTGATTACTGTACTATAGTCATCACGTTATAAATTCTAACACATTCTTACATTCGCCGTACAGTTTCTGTTTGTATATATCGTACAGCCACAAACTTTGGAGGGAGAAACCTTTTAGTAACTACTAACAGAAATGTTCGCAGAGAAAACATTTTGGGGAAGCTTGTCTCTCAATGTTCCCTGTCAATGTATGTAGTGTGACATGGAAAACGTTTGGGCTCTCAAACCATCAGGTACCGAAAGGATTCGAAACTTTCCCGAAAGTGAATGTATTTGGTACACATGTGTTAACCTACAAAAGGTCTGTCCTTCCAATGCCAAAGTGCCTTGTTAGGCCAAGTGATACTCTAGTACCCCGAGTTACTGTCATCCACAAACTAAGGCGTGTATGCTGTTGTGTGTAAGGTACACTTTTGGCACTGTATTGTAGTCCCTCCCTGACAAGATGTATCGCAAACTGAGTGACAGAAGCTGTGAGAACAATGCTATTGTGACTCAGTGTAAACCACCCCTACGCTTTGTTAGTGGTGCAATTTTAAAAGGACAACTGCATAGGTAAACTACCACAGCTGTAATGGTCCATTTATACTGCTGCAGGTGCGAACACTCCGCAGGGCAGAGTCTTGGGCCAAGAGCAGTGTGACTCCGCCCACACTCACCCCCTCCACATCAGTAGGAGATATCACCAGTGTAAGTTCAGTGGATGTAAAAAGAGTCGGGATTCCATTTTTCACACGGCGTGAACTGTAAATGTGGGAAATATTAATTTTAAGGAAGAAGTTGAGAGTTGAGACCCTAACACAGTTGGAGAATTAGTTTTAACTGGTTGGCGCTTCATTTTATGTAGTCTGCACAATTACATGGTCACAATAAAAGGATAAAAGTGGCTCATGTAGGGAAAGTATTTGAAGCTCTGTCACTCATTCTCCAGCAGCCCCCTCGACAGTACACACCCAAGGAGAGGGACATGGTGCTGAAGAACACGGAGTTGAGTTTCAGAGTCCGCCAGTTGGAAGAGAAGAACTCTGAGCTCGAGAGGTTCAAAAGAGAACTGGTACGTGTCATGTGGATCAGCTCTGGCTTGTAATAAGAGAGACAGAAATGATTTTTTGTTTTCAGGTTCAATCATCACATAACCTTTGTTTTTTGTTGAAAGAGCATATCATGACCCTTAGGACTCCATGGGTATCTCTATCATTCTGAGCAGTATCCTGTTTCTGCGGCAAATTAAAACACGACACTTGCTTGCCTGGGTGGGAGCAACTCTGCTCCAAATATAATGCAGAGCCTTCAACCCACTGTATGAGCTACCACAGAAGGGAAGGGTGTGCCATAGAGTACGAGTCATCCACCACAACCGTTAACTAACAAGCAATATATGTTTGTGTTAATGTGGTACAGAAAGAGTTGCTGGAGAAGGCAAAGGCGGAGCAGAAGCCACTGAAAGAGCAGCTGGCTAAGCAAGGAGTCAGAGTCAACTCACTCAGTGCCAGTCTCCACGACAAGGAGAAGCTTGTCAAGGGAGTGACTGAGGAAAACGAAGAACTAGTACGTCCGTTTCTGTGCCAGTATCATAATAGTGCTGAATTTGAGACCCGTTACTTTTAACTGGCAATGTGTTAAATTTAGCTCTGTGAAAAAGAACCCGCAGTATAGTAATAAAAATTGTTTCTGTCTGGTTCCCATTTGTGAGAACGTTGACACTATACTGTCTTCATCCATTCCCTCGTGAAGAAAAAAGCCAACAGGCAGTTGACGCAGGAGCAGTCCCAGCAGAAGCAACGTCTCACACAGCAGATGACACAGACACACACACAGAGGATGGAGCACCAGAGGGCCCTCGGCAAGTACGCAGACCTCCAAAAACTCCACAAAGTGAGTGACGGACGTGACAATGATGGTATAGTCTCACGAACTAGGCAGTAGTTTTCCACACTGTAGGCAGGGAATAGTCGCAACCAAAAAGAGATCTACATTTGACTGCACATGCACTCAAAGCAATGTCGTCGAGCCACCTTCCTTCCACAATAAAGTCACATACCTTTTGATATTTCCCCAGAAACTGCAGCTCCGCGTGAGGGAACTAGAGCATCAGCGTCGCTCACACTCCCACCAGACTAGTGCTGCCAGCAGTCCCAGTGGTGGGGGAGTTTGGGGAGTGGGGGGAGAGCCGTGCAGTCCCTCCGTCTCCTTCAGCAGCCTGGCCTCCGTCACTGAGGAGGGAGACACCCAGCACATCACCGCCAAGTACACTGAGATGAAGGTAGAGCCATAAACTCTTGAGGGGAAAAGGTTTGTGATCTTGAACTACGTCATGGGATTGTTTGGGTCAGATCACAATCCCCCTGCTAGGCCTGTTCTATGCCAGAAATAGTGCATACAGCAGCATCTCTTTTCCCTCCTGTTCAGACTGAGTACAAAAAGGTGAAGGACCATTACAAGGTATTGAAGATCAGCTATGAAAAGGTGCGCTATCCAGTATGCAAGAGAGTGCTGGTAGCACGCAGCATTTGTTTGAGATAATTTTGTTGCTAAGATGGTAGCATTGTCGTGGGGTCAAATAAACATTCCTGCAGTTGGAGTCCAAGTACCGACTAGCGGAGCAGGAGAAGCTGACAATTGAGTCAGAGATATCGCAGCTCCGGGCGTCGCCCATCAACGAACGGGACAGTCCGTACGACACGGCACGCAGCAGCTCCATTCTGTCGGAGAACCAGGCACGTCTCGAGGCCCTCCAGTCTCGCGTGAAGGACCTTGAGGCCTACATCCTCGAGCAGGTATTTTTGTTGTTATCTGTTGCTGGCAACACACTGTTAAAGGGAATATGTCATTACATAAGGGCTAAACTGATATGTTAGCAATAGGACCCAGTGCAAGAATAAATTTAGCACTTATATACTGCCACATTGCCTTTAAGTTGCATGAGGCTTTTGTCTCACGTAGCAAAGTTGCCCCGTGTATGTTAGCCTTCAATTGTGTCAACGTTCCATATTATGTACTGACTTAATATCTTGTGTTTATATGTTTCATCAGTGCTGTACTGTTGCTTCATGTGCTCAGGAAAATTTAGTGAGTAAAGAGAGAGAGGAGCACGCCAGAGAGGTGTCCTCTCTCACGGAGGCCAGGGACCAGTTGCAGGAGAAATTGCGGGGGGTGGGTGGGTGGGAGGAGAGGGAGGAGGGGGAGGGGGAAGAGGTGTCGGCCGGCAATGAGAGGAGTAGAGAGCTGTTGGAGCAGCTGGATCGTGTGGAGGAGATGAACAGAAAGACGTCGGGCAGCCTGAAAGAGACCATGAAAAAGACCAAAGTGAGTTGCAAAATGTCGTGTTGCGGCTCACGCTTGCGCATGCATAGCTTTCGTTCTAGTAAAGCTGAAAGTAGACCCCCCATGTAGAAAGACCTATACCCAGGAGGTGCCCCTCTAACTATGATGAACACTAACCTATACTTGCCTGAAATTGAAATTCTGGGTTTCGAGTGCTAATATAAAATATGTCGACCGTTTTAACTCTGTGATGATTTTGTAGGAATTGGAAGAGTGTGGAAATCAGATGGACGAGACCCTGCAAGGCATCAGGACACTAGACACTCTGCAAGGGGAAGAGGAGGAAGAGGAGGAGGAAGGTGGGCTGGAGAGAGAGGGAAGTTTACTGGTTCTGAGGAAGGCTCGTGAGACTCTCAAGGAGTGCCAGGAGCTGCTCAGGAGTGGACAAGGTTAGGTGTACACATTTAAACCACTGAAGTTACCTAACGCTTAAACCAAACCACTTTGTCATTTCGAGATTTAGTACCAGACCTTTTTTTGAACACATTCAGTAAAGTAAGTTCGACACTAGCAATGAAAAGTGTAGCCGTATTCTCCAAAAATCCAGACTCTACATCATACAGCTATTAGGAAATGGTGTGGTTAGTGAAAGATGGTCTGGTGTGACATGGTCCTTGTGCTCCACTAGATGTGTCTCAAGTGGTGGAGAGACTGGCGGATGTCCTGGGAGTGGACCGGCCGCTCTCTCTACTGGAGGACACCAGTCTCGCCATGACCACCAGTGACCTGGAGCCTCCTACCCCTGTGGACAGTAGTACTCCAGCAACTGCACACTCCTCACTGGTGGCCCAGATAGCCAGGCTACAGGAGGAGGTGAGCCAACTTTTACTGTACTCCTGGTTCCAAGGCCCAAAAATTTAGACACTTTTGAAGGGCAAGTATTTTTCTCGCATGTACTAGCTTCATGCGCTTCATGGGGCTCACCATAACAATCTCATGTGCATCAAGTATACACATCTGTCCAGGATGTGTATCGAAGCAAAGTTTGCAAATTATTTCACTTGTATGTGTAGTTGTCAGAGAAGCAAGAGGTGGTGGAGAAGGCGCAGGAGAAGGTGGCAGGTCTCCAGACCCTCACTGTGGAGCTGGGGAGGCAGTTGGAGGAGGAGAGGGAGGAGAGAGAGAACCTTGTCGCCACCTGGGACCAGGAGATGGCTGACTTACAGGCTCAGGTGAGCTCTAGGCATAGAGAGCACACAGTCTCTGTGTGCAGGACACTGCAGGTTGTAGTAGAGCTGCATCAACTGCACTCTCATCAGAGGTTAAAATGTCAACCTTTCAGTCCTCAAAGTGTGTCCTTAATTGAGAGATTTTTTCTATTGTGTCTTTTATTCGGAGTGTCCATTGTCGGCGGTTCCACTGCATTGTTTCATGCCAGCTTTATCTGTATCTCACTTCCTTTCCATTGTGCAGTAATGAGCTTACAAATGACAGATCAATGCTGTGTGTAGTATATAACCCTGGTTACGGTGTGTGTGTGGTACAGGTGTCACAGAGGGAGACCCAGTTGAAGAGGGTGCGGAGAGCCATTCCCCAGGGAGTCAATGAACAGATGCACCAGCAGCTCGGCCAACAAGTACTCCACGACCTGCAACAGGTACATACCTGTACATCCATGCACATACATGCCAAACAGGGGTATAAGTTGTCACCTTTATCTGTGCTCTGTGCGTCTTAATTCTGTATAATGGGGGAGGGGCTTCAATAACACAGGAGAAGACTTTCACAACTTGGTGGCATATAAGTGCCTCTCACTGTGCACCAATAGCTGAATGAAACTGCTACATATGCATCTCTTGTGTATAATGCTCCATGCAGTGTAAGTCACTGGCGGAAGGACTGACTGGGTCCCAGGCTCTGCTGTCTCAACTGGAAGTCCTGGAGACCTCTCTAGACAGTCTCCTTCACACCGTATTTCCCGGCATGTTCCAGCAGCCGACCTCTCCTCCACCTCCCCTCCCCTCTCCCCCTCGTCCTCACACCTCATCCACAACTACCGCAGAGCCCTCTCAGTCCACCAATGAGAATGGGTCTGTGGCTGGCCACCAAGATCCTTCGTCCCCACCCCCTGCCACAACGGGTGTACCCACAGACCATCCTCCTGCTTCCTCCATTACCTCCTCGAGACACAGCACACCTCACTCTGACCAGGTTTGAAACACTTTGAAACATCACAAGGTCTTTTTTCTACTTGATGCTTGCTGTGTACAGCACTAGATCACGGCATGAGCATCAACTCACTCTTTCCTCTAGCCCGTATTATTTTTCTTTCCTAACTTCAGGTTGAGGTGACGCCTCTCTCGTCTCCCTCTTCTCACACCCCTCCACAGGTAGTGTGTGTGTCTCATATTACTATGTACAAAGGACTCTCCATGTATTATACTGGCAGTAACACACACTTGCTCAAACATAGTATAACCAGGAGTAATTACAGGCAGCGGCAGTAATGCTACTTCTCTACTTCTAAAGAGAATCCCTCAAATAGTGCCCAAACACTACATATTATAGCTACCATTCCGAAGTTATGTTTCTTTTTCTTCAGTCTCCTGAGACAGAAGTGCCACATCTTCTAGTCGGAACAGCCACCAAACCATCACCCCCTAACCACACCCCCCCTCATTATCCGACCCTCCCTTCATCACCCCTCCACGAGACGACTGGCAAAGCCACACCCCCTGGCCCCGTGGAAGAGGTCATGGTGATGAGACATGTGGAATGCGAGGAAATTAGCATTCCTCTCGATTTTCTCATTCAAACCACACCCACCGACTCCACCCATTCCGAACCTCACCCCTCACACACACCGCCTAAGTCTCCAGTCCACACTGAGTCCGAGACTGATTCCCATTCCACCTCAAATGACCTAAATACCACAGTTGAAGATATCGGACAATTGGTTGAGCGATCAGAGGATGGTCCATCCTATTCGGCAATAACATCAGCAATGGCTGGCGAGAAAGGAGGAGAGCCTGAAGAAGTACAAGTAACAGAAGGGATCCCCCAACGAGACAACCCATTGTTTAATGGTCCGACCCATCCTCCAACACCTGATCTCACCCTCATAGGTGGCCGAGAGTACACAAAGGAAGACCTTGACGAGGTTGACTTGGGAACCAGTGGGGAATACAGTATGGGAGCCAGTGGAGAATATAGTCGTCTGATAAGAACCAGCAGTGAATATGGCGGCACACGAAGAGAAAGAGGAGTACAAAGCTACAAGTTCTGGGTGGGCAGGAAGGAAGAGCCTGTCACCTCTACCTGCAGGAAAAGACGGTTCATTACCCGTGCCGGCAGGAAAAGGGAGTCCTTTGTCGTCACTAGAAGGAAATGATGCTCTGTCGCCTTTGCTGCACTACCCAACGCCTCCCGAGGCACCAGCAGGCAGGCAGAGAGTGTTGGCAGCGCATGCAGCAGCAACAGACGTCTCTTGTATCTCTCCTTCGTCTTATGTTCGTGGGAAGAAGAGGGTTAGGACACAGAGCATGGAGCAGGAGGAGATGAAAGAGGAAGAGAAGGAGGAAGAGGAGGGAGATGAAGAGAAGGGGCCAGTGAGAGCTGGGAGAAGACAGAGGAAGTTGAAGGGGAGAGGTAGGACGAGGAAAGACTGAGAGATTGTTTGTCGCAATCTTGAGCTACAATCCTGAGGCAATGTGCACAACAGGCAGACCTGACCTGGAGCTTCTCTTCGATGAAGGTTAGTTTAAACTTAAAACATCTTGCTCATGTTATAAGTATGATGTCATCTTATCCCTTATCTTGTGTTTTGTTCAGGAGCTATAATAGCAGTCGAAGGAGGCGTGGATGACAGTGGGTTCTACAGAGGATCATTCCAGGGGAAGACTGGGCTTGTCCCGGCAGGGTTTGTCCAGGAAATGGAAGTGGAGGACGAGGCCCAGAGGAGGAGACTCCTGAACCAGACCCTCTCTCGCCCCTACATCCCCTCCCTCCCTTCCTCCCCCCTCAACACACCCCTCGCAACCAGCCGGCCACCCAGCGGCTCTCTCCTCTTCTCACCCTCTGGATCCCTGCTGTCTCACACACCACTCAGCCAGACAACATCTGGTATAGTTCCCGGTGCATAGACTCTTTCTCTTTTCCAGCAATGTGCTATATAGCATGGGGTTGGATGAAGCTACTCTATGATCCCCACCTATGTATAAGTAGAGAATATGTATCAATTATAGATGATCTAGCCTCTAAATCTCCTCCCTCAATACTGTAATAATGCCCTGCCCACAGTTATGTCACCTCCCCCACCTTCCTCTGTGACTGTTGAGACTACGACGGCAGAAGAGCGTTGTCATGGTAACCTGGGCTCCGCCCACCACACCCGTTACTGGATACCACATTTTTGCCAACAAACAGCTGAGGGCATCGGTGACTAGTCCTCAGACCAGAGTGAGTAACTCAATCTCGTATGCGAGCACTTAAACAGTCTATCTGTAATTTGAGTTAGAGACAGCCTGTAATAGACGTAAAAGTCGTAACTCAAACTTATGTTTTGTTTCGGCATGCTGTTTGACAAACCTCAACCACAGGTCCTACTGTCTGATGTGTCAGAGGTGTCAGCCGGTGATGGTGGGTGTGGCCAGCCACAACAGGGATGGTCGACAGAGCAGCGTGGCGTCCACCACCTACCATCCTCCCACCTCTACACCCCAGCCACAGCAACAACCACAACAGCCTGAGCAGTACCGACTGGTGAGGAACACGTTCACTGTAAACAGGCCCAGAGAGACGTCTCTCGGATGCACTTACGATTCAGTTAATTTTCGATGGAGAATCCACTACTGACACTGCGTTTCCACCTCCGCCCTCTTTCTATTCTAACATTCTTACCACCTTACGGTTCTCTTTCTCTCCCTCCCTCCCCCTCTTTCCCTGACACAGTGTATAGTACTGGTGGACTATGACCCTCAGAAGATGTCTCCCAGTGATAACCCTGACCTGGAGCTGAAGGTCTCGGAGGGAAACCTTCTCAGGTGCTACAACAGAGATGAAGAGGAGGACAGCGGCTTTACAATGGCGGAGGTCTGCCTCTCTTGGTCGATATAATTATGCACCCTTTATAAGCCATTTTCTGATAATAGTTGGAGGAGTCTAACACGAGAGGTTTGGTACCAACTGAGTTCATCACTGAAGTATATGGACCGTCTGCTTCTGATCCAAATGTACGTGAAATGTGGACTCTAGCTCCCACACATTGTCATTGTGAATTTATTATGCTTGTTGCAGAAGTACGAGTGGAAGTCACCACCACAGAGCAGTCTACCAGCTACTTTCAAGTATGTACAAAGGATTGCTGTAATTGTACATCCCAACAAGCCTCTGTGTCTCCTTCCTCCCTCCTTGATATTTTTCTCTGCTGTGCGTGCAGTTGATGAGGGCAGTGTATAACTACAACTCTAGACAAGACTCTCCCAACAGAGGCATGGAACTGGAGCTCAGCTTCAGGAATGGAGACGTCATCACTGTCTACGGTAGCATGGTGAGGACCCCAGTCTCGCTTTCTTTCCTCCATCCCTCATTCTTTTTGAGACAGACTTTTATGTCACTGCTCATGCACTAAAATACACCAGTTTCTTATGCAGAACAACCTTTTGATCTGCTCTTTCTCATTGTTCTCTTTCATCTCTCACTCACTTTTTCTCACCATAACTTCACTGCTTCATAATAATATATTCATTATAGCTATCTGTATATTTCATGCTGTTGCCCATTCTGTGTTATATCTTATACTTAATTTTCAGGATTCAGATGGGTTCTACACTGGTCAAGTGAGGGAGGCATTTGGTCTGGTCCCCTCCAACTACCTCCAGAAGGAGGAAAAGAAGGAGGGAGAGATGCAACGACAGCAGTCAACAGATAGAGAGGCCAACAAATTAAGGAAATGGTATGATCACTGCCAATTTGGCCGCTCCCGTTAAATGTGCCTCAAATGGGTTGGTAAATTTGACCACTGAACCGCAAATTGTCACTAAATTTTCAGCCAAAAACTTACATAAACACATTACGCAGGGAACTTCCTCCCAATATGTGGAAGCAAGCCAACGGACAAGAGCTTCACCTGAATGCACTCGCCTCATCCCATCCACATTCCCAGAGGTATAATATATTTACACAATACTTGCATCCAATAGATTGTAGCTATTATGGATGATCTTGCTATACAGTGAAGTTCATGGGTCCAGTGGAGGAAAGAAGAAGAAAGCGAGTGAAGGCAGTATTTCTGGTAGCGGCAGTGGCAGTGGAAAGTGAGAGCGTTATCAAACTTATTCTCTAGCTTATCACATCTTTTTTCTCTCTCTCCCTGTCCAGTGGTCATAATGGAGAGGGATCAAAGAGACGGTGGTCTCACGGACTGCCATTCAAGAACCCGTTCTCTCGCAAGAAGAGTGACTCTGTGTTGTAGCCATGCAAGCTATGCTTTCCTCTGCATATACATACACAATTAGTACAGTACATGCAGCACTCCCTCACTGTCACAACTTTACACACCGTATTATTGATAACC